TTGATCAGTAAGGAGTAGAGACACCATAGAAACATGTATAATGAAATAGATATGAATCTTGTTGAAAAGTTTTGAAGAAAAATTAAACGTCTCCTTGTTGCAAAGAAAATACGGCTTGCTTAAAAATTAGTTAAATTCTTAGTTCTAAAATTTATTTTAATATTATAATATGATGAAATACTAAGATAATTAAAAAAGTTAACAGATTCAACGAGTTGATAAAATAACTATTTAATAACAATAATATGACTTTTAAAAAGTAATGATTATTAATTAGTGTAACGAGGTTCTGTTAAAACTCCAATTTGGGTATTCACTTATTTTCGTTATTTACAATTACTTTGAAATTTGAATAAAGAAAACATAAATTGAATATTTTCCATTTCGGTTGTTATAATAATTAAAAAGAAACTTATACCTACTTGAACATTTTTAACATATTAATTATTAAATTTTTTGATCCTCAAATTTCACGTTTATAAAATATATTATTAAAAGTATACATTGAATTGCTAAAAAGTGTTAAAAATAACTTTCCATAAAACCCATAGCTTTCTCTCACTTCTCAATATATAAAATATCCAATTACACTATTCAAGTATTTCATGTGATGCGTTTTATTTATCAGTAAAAATAGCATAGTATTATGTGGTGAAACTAAAAAGATTTTGGTCCCAATGGAAAATTCAAACGCTCGCGACGGTTGAACAGTTCATTTTTACTCGTAAAATCTGAATTCAGAAGAAAATAAAATCAGTAATACGATATTTGTCGATAAACCAATTTTGCGCTTCAGTATATTAACAATGAACACGTTCATTGCCGCAACAACCGAGGGTGGTAGGGGTGCAAAGAACCCATCATACCAATGGGCCTCTAGTGGCCGAACTATTTGGAACTTTTTTTTCATCTAACACCTTAAGTGGTATCTTACTATTTTATTATTTTATCAAAAAATAGAAACTAATGAATAGGTTCATTAAAATCATAATTATTATTATTTAATATTTATTGTAATATAAAACAAAGTCCTGACTATAATTATAGTAAAATAATAAAAATAATAATTTCGAATGGCGGGGCCAATATCATATTCTCGAATTTCTTAATTTCCCCATGTTGCCTGACCACTTTACTCCTCAGTCCTCACCTATCTGTGTACAATAACTACAATGTACAATGTGTTCAATGTTCTTCACCTATCTGTAAGTCGTTTAAGTCATCAAAGAATAAATGATGAGACATTAATTTGTTGCAATACGTCTGCTTCTACTTTATAACAATTCGTAATTGTGTCATTCATTTTATCGTAAAATGTTTCATATTATTATAATAATTATTAATTTTCAATTTGGAAAGTGGTGGCTTATCCGTAGCCAATGTTATCTGAACTACCAAACAAATAATAAGTGAGAAACATTCTTCTGGAAAACTTCTACCCATCTTTTTATATATTATCATGAATTGTTGTCATAATGCAATTTATACTATAATTAGTACAACTCGAACAGGGCTTTATTTTATTTCAATATTTAATTTGTTCATGTTATGTCAGTTATGCCGAAAATTATCTAATCATTTTATAGCTGATCTAAAAATCAACGACAAAATATGTTGTTTTAATATTAATGTTTTTTTTCTCGGAAAGTTGCTGCGTCTGGCAAAGATATTAATATTTTCTCAGATAATAAAGTTCGTAGTGTTTTCACCAAAATAGTCGGGTTTATGATGAAAAAATAAAAATAATTTTCCTATGCTGCCCTCTGGCCCCAAGGCTCATCGACCACAATGTCATAATTGGTTTATGTTTACGCCACGGATACAGAGGAGGAGAATTAACGATATTACACTAAATATCAATGTGACTTTATTTACTACTCACTATGGTATATAATAATATTATAGCTGCACTTAAGTCACTATTATAAGTGAAGTATATTCAAGTATATGTTGTGTATTTTGTGATAAGTGCATAGCAGAAGTACAGTATTACAATAGGTCGTGTCTATACGTTTGATATAGTATCACTAAATTGAAAACGCATATGTGTATACAAACTATAATAGATGTACGATTGCACTTACGCATGAACATTGTTCCAGTGGCATGTCGACAAATTTGCAGTACGTGATCAAAATTTAATGTTGCCACACTTATTATTATATTTTGACTATCATATTCCCTGTCACAGAACAGATAAAATAACTATACTAGCTGGTATTATTGTTATCACACCATTAAAAATGAATTTATATTTTATACTTTTATAGTCATTGTACAGTTTTAAACACATACTTAGAAATCCATTCTTTTAAACATTTTGTAAGACATGGTTAAGTATTAAAAATTAAATAGCAAACATACCTTAAAAATGTTGGAGCTTGCACAATAAAGAAAAGTCCGGTGCAAAGTTCTAATTGTTGACCATCATCCACCTTTTACAATATTCAGATATTGTAGAGGTATTATAGTAGCTATCTTTAGCCATTTTGGATTATTATTACCTCTTATCATCTCAAATATTATTTTATTTTCATTATATTGAATAAGACAATATGTTAGTATTACACAAGGGAACGTCAAAGTAGTTGATTGGTACCATAATAATAATTGTCACACGACGGGTAACTACTGCATAGGTGTTAACGTTCTATCAGGCTTGTGGGTCGATGTTATAATACCTACAAAATACCTGTGAATCAAAAGTCGGCCCCAAAAAATGTGCTTCATGTACAATATATTATTTTCCGTTTCATTTGAATCTATGCCTAGAATAATAATGAGTAATCGGTGTTTACTAAACAATTACTGGTAAGAATAAGCGATGGACTGGTGGTTTATTTATAATTATTAAACGGGAATGCAGCCCAAAAGTACAATTTGACATAAAGAGGTACATATTAGTTGACCAAAATTAAACTTAATAAACTAGACAAAAAAGTGAATACTAATAATAATAATAATAACAATATCAATTATACAAATAATAATTATGCACAATCAACAAAATATATCAAGTGTAAAACACAATTATTCTTAAAAAATGATGTGTTATAATCCAAATAGCGTATCCGATCAACTGTATTATTCATATAATAGTAATAATAATAATAGTGTTATGAATAAGAAAGGAAAAGAGGACGTAGGTGAGATCTTGTGGAACGAGCAGGAACTCTAAAAGTTAATTTCACATATGAGAGAAGGAGCATAAACGTGCTTAGCTATCAACTTTTGCAAGAATGACAAGTTAGCTGGCACACGTTTATCTACTGATGAGTCCAAGCTGATTTGTTACAGGGAGGTAATCACTCGGAGAATATTCAACTTTTGAAATAAAAGCGGCTGATAATGAAAAACGCTTCTGTACTCTCTCTCAAAGTAAGGAGTACAATAGTACTATAATAATAATAATAGGTATTACCATATTCCTATACATATATGCCAATTCTCATAGGATTCTCTCTTGTCTATAATATATCAAGTGCAGTGGACGACAATAATCAGCAGAGTACCTGAAGCGTTGATCATATTATTATAATGTGAGATTCTCCCACCCTCGAACAGCTGTGATTTTCGCTAAGCCATAACTGCAGTTGCAACTGTCGATCGTCCCAGCAGACGATATAAGTTTAATCTTATCGTGTTACGGGTTATTCAAGTGATAAATCTGAAAAACGTTGAATTTCATTAGACGTCGTGCGTGTGCGGTCGAGGAGACGGACTTTAAAAATAAACTTAATATAATTTCGTAGGTAACAATAGCACCAGAAGTTTGAAATTTTAAGACGTTTAGAATCGAATTGAATGGAATATTATCAAACATCGATATTCTGGTGAGCAGTACTGACATATTATTTGGACACTATAGTAGCCGATGATTCGGCAGGACAATGAAAAATACGGTTTATACTCAGTCCACATAATCATATAATTTAATAAATATATTTGAACAGAGCCCACTGGGGCTCAACCCAGAGGTACACTCTTTAAAAATACCTTACTTCGATCTTATTTTTTGACGGTTCAATGATCTTCAGTCGTTACAGCCGCTATAGCTGCTGATGTGCAGACAGTAAAACAATGCCGCAATTACAATAGCACATATAAAACCGTATTACTTACATTATAATTATTAATTGTATATATGTGATGTGCGATAGTGAACATAAAATAATAAAAAATGTATTGCAACGCATAGTAAGCCAACAACAATTATACATTTTAATTGAACTTGACAAACTTGTATGCAGTCTTCATTTTTTATCACTCACAACAAATTAAATTGATTTCATAAATGTAATTTACAGTATTATAATAAATCTATTTATCGTTAAGAAAAACATTTTAGGTGCGTTAGTAAAAATGATGCAACATTGTAAATTTTTAATGGTTTTTTTTACTCTCAATCTTCCAACCACTCAAATTTATCCAGCTCTATATTATGCACATTTATTGTCTAGACGTTTAGGAATTAATAAACTTAACCACACAAATGAGTTGAAGACTACTATCACACCATTAAACTCCCCCACAATTAAACTTTGTTGCTGATTACCACTCATATCTGTTACCTCACATGGTAGTTCAAGTAGGTACATACTGATAATATTCATGGTGGAAATTACTATCTTTCTGCCGCTCTTCGTTGTATGGTGGGTATTTCAAAAAATTCACTTACTGCAAATGCATTTCCCAGAATCTAGGACCTATAGATATCAATATATTGTCAGCAAGGACGACTTCGACAGACAGGGTAAATTAAAAATAATTAATAGTATTTTAACTGAAGAGAATTTATGAAAATACTATAAAATGCAAAAAAAATTTAAAAATTACTTAGAAGGCAAAAAAAAATATATATTAACGCAAACTATAGTTAAAAAAAATTATATTTTGTTACTTAATTCTAGCTTTCTATTAAGAAAACTAATTTTTACCATAAGTTAAAGATCTATTTATCTTGCTAAAAACTCACAAAACCAATTATAATATATTTTTATATGATTTGGCTAGTAATTACTACTCCTGTTAAGTACCATATTATCTCCTGGGATAAGCACTTGGAGAAAAAGAAACGTCCTCGTTTTCTAGGATATAGTTCTTATCGTGTGGGTTTTTCAGGTGTCAGTCCTTCGACTGTCGGACGCGTGAGCGCAGGGAAGACGGGACAATCGCACGACCACCGAAGTCGGAGATCTCGAATCAGTGATCGAAGCTCGGCGACTGCCATGACGTCCGACCGCCACTGCAGACACAACCCACAGCACCACTGCCGCCTCATCCACCAGTCCCACGGCAGTCACCACAAACGTCACCAGCACCAACTCCACCACCGCGGTCGGTGTCGTGGGCCACCATTGGTCGCGGTCGTAGCGCTGTGGGCCGCGGTGGCCTGCGTCACGGTGCCCACGGCCTCGCCGTCTCCGGCCACCGGTGACATGAGCCTGTTGACGATGCAGCGCATTAAGTCTTACGTGGACGACACGTGCACGTTGGATCCGCACTGTCAGTGGACGTGGGACCCTCTGCCGAATGGGCTGCGAAACGTGTCCTCGGATGAAGCAGCGGCTGTGATGCCGGTAGACTACTTGTTCCCACCCGGCGACGACGCTGAGAAACCAGGACAAAGAGGTAAGTGACCGGACGCAAATATTAAGATAGTCAAGCTTCAGGGGGACGACTAAACTCTAGGCAGACGTGACGATGCCTACTGTTTTCTTTTTTTTGACGAAACATAATATCTCATCTTTATTTTGTCCGTCGCACCGACCCAACTACTAATGTGATAAGAAATTTGAATACATACTTAAATTCATAAAAATTACTTGAGATCGATCATCCCTCCCTTCTTGGTTTTCTAAGGGCCATTTAAGTATATTGCCACAATAACCAAATGCGTCCATCTCTACCTACCATTTGCTGATTGTTTTCCATTTTCTACTCCTAAGTTTTTGACATCCCTACCGCTCCTCTATATCTTAAGCCTTCCTATAGGCGAATCGCTACAAAAAATAAATAATTTTTAGTGTCAAATACTATTTGTCGACTGCTGTTTGGTAACATGTACGTCCTTGCGTGGGAATGTACAGTACAAACACACGCACTAACTGTAGGTAGGTAAATATTTTTTTTTCGAACAGCATGCATTTTTACACTTATAAAATGACTGATGTTTAATTCTTTAAAAACAATCGATATTGAATGCCCTTAAGCCTTAAGGCCACCTATCCGCTTGTAATGTCAACTCTGTCGTGTCAATAATGCATCAATTGGAACCAATTTTAAGTTGATATGTAGAAGAATAAAAATAAGGTAGGGAAATGTAACGGTAAAAAATGACAGTGGGTAGCTGATATCAATTAGACAGTTATTATTTTGGCATGTGAATGATAAAATATTTATTTAAATTGAATGATGATAATGTGGTAAATATGGTTATTTTTAAGGGGAAAAGATTAAAAATCAAACACAAAAAGGGAGTCAGGTGAGGTCTATAGACTCTATACTGTCTAATTTCGTAGCAGTATCTAACACCTGATATCTATTTCAGGGTAATATTCTTATGCTTTATTAATGTTTGTGGTGTACCTATATCATTATCACTGTGCTTAATAACATGTTGGTTCCCGGTAAACATACATTCAATTTAGAACAAAACATTTGAGCGGATAAGTGCAAAAAATAAATTAACAATCAAAATCCGAATTCAGTTCTATCCATATAACTGGTTTGGTTTCTAACTGAAATTGTTTAATTATGGTATTTTTTTTCGTCAAGTTTTGATTATCCGAAAAAAATAACATCTTTATGAAAACAAATATTTTCATTTTTCATTTTCATTTTGATTTATATAAAAATAGGTCTTTTGAAACTCTCTCCTCTCCAAAACAATTGGATGGTTTGAGATATTTACCAGTGTACCAAATTTTAGTTTTTAGCCAATACGAGTATTTATTATTACACAAATTTCTTAAAAAAATATACCTAATACACACGTACCTATAATAATATGATTTATAATTTAAAAAAAATATTACCTAATAAATCAAGTCTTTGTTATTCAATAACTTTTCAGTTATTGTGAAACGGGTTTGAAAAAAGTGTCCAAAACAATAGGTTGTAACCCATGGTGTTTAATGAAGTCAATTTACTTTTACATGTTGATTTATTCGATGTCTAGTCTTGAAATTATGGTGGGTACCTATATACTATATAGAGTTTATATTTATAATATTAGAATCATTTATCTAAATTACTGTTAACGTTGCGTGGTTTTGAAAAATTCTGCAGTATAAGTAATAATTCATAATTGAATTGCTATAATTCGCAACTTTGGTAGCCCTTTACAGGCTTGTTAGTTTAGGCTCTTAGTTCGTTTATTGTATAATTTATTAACTAAAAAATACGTGGTCACAAATTAAAATTCTACATGGGAAAGCTAAGTAAGTGTTGGAATAGCAAATAGAGATATTATATTTCAAGAGTATGTACAGTTGATGGTAGTTAACTAGTTAATAAATTAATAGATTGGGGAAAAATTTTCAAAATGGTTTAAAAAGTATAATCACCATTTTACGGGTTTATCGGCCGGAAAGCACAAATTGCACTAAATTCTAGAGCCTTTCCTGGGAATAAATTCAAAACATTAAATTCAGCAATGTTTTTCGAAATGTTTGTGAACATGAAAATGCTATAATAATAAATGTATTATTTTGTAAAAAGAAAAATGTATTATGCAACTCTCGCTGCTATAACTCACTTGATTGTAAATAAAAAAAATATAATAACATTACGGTATAACAATACAAATGTATTAGGTACATATTTTATTTATGAAAACCGAGCTTAAACAAATACTCGTACGTAATTTTAATGTTATATATTATATTGTATATGAAGATAGGTACTTAAAAAAAAAAAAAAATGTTTTTACATTAAGAAATCGTATAACTATTATAATACGTGTATTTGTAATAAAATAAAATACCATACGTAACACCATTATAGTCCTTACTGTCACTGACATAATACGTCTATTTAATTGTAGTGGATAATACCGTACGACTTGAATAATGATAATATTAAAATAATGACTAGGAAAAATATTTGTATTTACAATGATACACAAAATATGTTTATAGTAATTTGTACTCTGTGAATTTCTCTTTCCTTCTATTAGGAGGTTTTGCGTTCACTGGGTTTCCCATACTTGGTGCAATGTTTAAATCTATGATTTCGTGGTATGTATCCATAGCAGAGTGGGTGTCTTTCATGGGAATTGCATTTCTTTCTTTCTTCGTCTGTAAAATCACTTCTGCTACCGTCGTATATCCGGTAGAGCTACAGCATGCGTATAGTTTATTAGTGTTGGTGTGTTTCTAACATCTATTATTAGTCTTCTTGTTTGCGGTCGATTGCCACGTCAATCAGTCAGACGATTTCCCCGCTGGACAGACGCCACCTAGTGCTGAGTAGGTAATAGAGAGGTTGTTCTTATGAGGGTTTAGGCCTACTTAGTGTGAGCTAGTTTTTTCAGTAGATGTTTTTTGGTTTACCTCAGCTTTTGTATTTCAGCAGTGTTTTCAATAGGTCGTATAGAGCTTCACAAAGGTATTTGGCAAATTGTGAATGGTTCAAGGTCACTCCATGTCACATTATGCATGGAGTTCACGTGCTGACTGTCTATTTTTTTTAGATAGTTAATGCACGTTTGTATCTTGGGAGGGTTGGTTTCCACATAATATGTGAAAAGTATTTTAGGGATTTTTGAGTAAGATATTTTTTTAGTTTCTTGAAGAGACTCACTGTTATCGCTAAGTACGTCGTCAGAATATATGAAAATGTTGCATAAAAATAGCACACGTGGTGTGTACTATATATATATATATATAAATTATAATGGATGTATCGTATCTCATGTTGTGAATAAAGATTAGCGGGTGTGAACATTTACGTAATATCGGGTTCTTGATAATACCTTTGATTAATTATTCTGTTTCTGTGTTTTGGTATCGTATTACTCGTATTATTAATTAAAGTGGAGTGATTATCACATTTAAAGGTGAGAAAATTGTTTGTGTATATACTTTGATTATTACGATGTATCAACTATTAACGAGTTATGACTAGGTAAGTAAAATATTATAAAACAAGAATGTTCATAAATATCTTAAAATTAAAACATCGTAAGTAACCAACGTAGGTATAGATACAAAAAATGTGTTTACCTGGGTACATATTCTAATATAAATCTAACAACACGGTTCTGTTCAACTCTAATGTGCTGTATTGTACACTTGTGGTATACTTGTGTAAAATGGAGAAAACACTTAACACATGGGATGATAGTCTTAATAATGTCTCTAATACAATTATATAACTCCTCGTGCACGTGTGTTTGATATATTTTCTATGTGTATCGAAAATGTTCTGCAGTAAAATGAATCGGTTTGGTGTTATGAAATCGGAATACTAATTTATTATATAATACCTATTAATATGCTGTTCGGAATTAAAAGAAACAACAAGTACAAATAATTACGCTTCAATCATCATGATATTTATGATTTTTAATGATTGGTATACGACTATCGCATATATAACTTTACGAGTAACGAGCAAGACGTAATAACATTTTGAAGGTGGTGACCGGTGATAATATTAAAATATGTAGGTACTACAGAGAGGAACTATTAAACTTTGATATTACCGATTTAATGTAATTCATATATTATCATAATTATAGGAAATAAAAAAATAAATCCTATAATTCCGTTTCTGTTGTAATAATATCTATGAGTATCTTTTACTAAACATTTTAAAATAATCACAATTTATTGTTTATTGCACCGAACTGATTTTGATCATAGTGAATACATCTGCTTTATATATAGGTATAGGTTTTTACTTTATCCGATATTATTTATTAATAATTGTCCGTATAAATAGTATTAAAATTAAAAACTGTACCAACAATTGAATATTTAAACATTTAAATTTTTTTTTGCAGGGAGGTACATATGGAATTTAATATCATTATGTTTTCCATTATAATATTTATTAGCCATGATTATTGGATGTGTTATTTGATGAATAATAAATATTTATAAGAACATAGTTAAAAAAGGATTATGATAAGTATTTTAACACAACTGCTTACATCTGAATGAAAATATACAATATTTAAATTGTTTTTCTCTCAATTATTAAAATGTATGTAAAATTCATCTTCTGTACACTGAAATATTAAAGGATTTAAGGAGTCTTTAATGCTAAGACATTGAGTCGAAAAATCATAATAAATTATGAAACATTTTAAACCTTTATCATGTGCATAGATATACATTATCGTTTGACTAAATTTGAAAATTGTTGGTATATAATATTTCTTAAACAATAATAAATATTAAATAATTCAATACTTATTGTTTAAAAAAGAAAAATATACTTATCGATTATCGAACGGTAGATGAGAGTTACATAAATTGAATTATTGTGAATAAAACAAACCGATCGTAAAAACGTGCATTGTGAATTGCAAGCGATAATTTATTAACATATTAATATATTATTATAATAATTCATTAGGTTCTTTGTATTTATCGTATAATTTCCAAAAATATTCATTAAACATTTATTA